GTGATCGACCGATCATACAGTTAATCAAATGCGTTATATTTTTATAAATAGCAGTTATCTTCTGGTGAGTTGGTTAAAAGCAGACAATGAAAGGTCTCCACAACGAGAATAACAAAAACTACGAACTACTCTTGAATCATTCAAAGAAACTCGGCGAAATGCTTGTATCTGCGGAGGACTTTGATACGATTCTCAGAATTGGAGATGAAACCAACATTCGAACTTTCAGTGCTCATTCATTTATGTTGAGGGCCGTATGTCCTTATTTCAATAAGGCCTTGAATAAGGATTGGGCTAAGAAAAAGAATGGAATGTTTCTGTTTGAAAAGCAAGACGTGGCTCCGGAGGTATTTGAAGTCATACTTGAGTAAGTAGGATCATTTGATCATGTGCAGTAATTGTAATGATTTTCTTTCTCATCATCGCATCTTGCCTTTCGATCATGCAAGATTTATCTACACAGGTATATGTAATCTGGAAAGCCTTGAAAATCACCAAATAATCGACATAATGATCACGTCAGATGAACTTATGCTTACTGAATTCGTCGAATTCATCGAAACATACCTAATTGACAAACATTCCAGTTGGATAATTTCTAATTTTGACCAAATCGTCTCCGTGTGCTTTAAATACCTCACAATGATGAAATTGCAAGAATTTTGTCTAAAAGAATTATGCAAAGATTCCAAGAAAATATTTACGGATGCAAATTTCAAGAAAATGGGCGAACCGTTGTTAGTAAATTTAATAAAGACGGATGAATTAAGTCTCGACGAAGTCGAAATTTGGGAGAAGGTCATCGAGTGGGGAAAATTTCAGGTTTCAAATCTCCGTAGCATAAACAATGCAACAGAACAACCTTCGCGACCTTTAGACGACGACGTATCGAAATGGAGTTTGGAGGATTTCGAATCATTAAGAAATGTGATTGCTAACTGCATACCTCACATAAGATATAACCAAATACACCCAAGAGACTTTCATACGAAAGTCAAGCCATACAAATTACTGCTGCCAAGCGAACAATACGAAGAAATTCTTTGGCTATATGTATTTAATTATGAAAATCCACCTGTACCTTCAACTTTACCATCCTCCTCGATGGTGCATTCTCCACCGCGCAATGGTACGATAAAGTCAAGAATAATAGGACAGAGGCATGCCGCCTTAATAGCAGCTTGGATATGTCAAGTTGAGATGTATCACAAACCTGACAGAATGACGTACGTGTTTGACCTAAGAATTCGAGGTACACGAGATGGATTCTCGCATAACACGTTTAAGTCAGTGGCTAACCACGTGGAGAAAACGATAGTCGTAGCTCGCGTTAAAGGTTCCAGTGAAATAATAGGCGGTTACAACCCGTACAGCTGGCGTCACGATAGGTGCGTTGATTTCTGGAGACCGGAATCTAGAACTTTTATATTCTCATTTCCTGACGGGGAGCCATCTGAAAAAGCCATATTTTCCAAGATAAACCCAGAACATCAAGAACGCGCAATGTATATACGTAAAGATGGTGGACCCGAATTTGGAGATATGGATTTGTATATGAGCGATCAATTTAACTTGAACACAGGTGTAAGATGTAGGCAAAGACATTATTTGGAAAAGATTAGGGAAAGCGAAGAGAGTTTTGCCGTTGATGAATACGAGATGTTTCAAGTAAAGAGAAGATGGGTGTAAAATCCGTTATTTAATTTTTTAATCGAATTAATCCAAATTTAGCAATTTTAATTTGAACTTATGTGATACGATAATCATATGACAAGATAGAATGTTACTTGCCACGTGTTTGGATCTACAGATTGTATTTAACCTTGAATCAGTTAATTGTACTGTACATTTTCCACTGTTCCTGTATAATAGTGTATGTATGTTTTATCATTCACCTATGAATAAACTCATCATTTAGGTAAATCAATAAAAATATTTGTCAAGACATGGAGTCAATTCCTGAAGAAACGTTTAAATTAATTTTCGAATACTTACGGGATGATCTAAATTGCTTGTTATCTTGTTTGGTGGTGAACAAGCAATGGGCTCGGGTTACGGTGGAGACAATGTGGAGAAATCCCTGGAGATACATTAAAAATACCAAGGGTGAAGATAGCAAAAAGGCAGAGGTCAAATTAATCTCAATTTTGATTTCCTTTCTGCCCGAGGATTCTAGAGCGATTTTGAGAGAACATGGAATAATCATTCCTTCTCCCTTGCAATCCCCACTGTATGATTATGCCGGATTAAGTCGATATCTTACACATTATGATGTTAATCGTATGACAGAATTGATTCTGACCTTACCGGAATACAAAGGATCCGTCGAAACAACGACCTTAACGTGTCAAAGCGAATCATACACCAGTTACTTGATCAAACAAGAATTATATAGAATGTATGTTGATCAATGTCGGGCATTGAAACTTCTTGAATTCCGTGACGCGGATATCCCGTTACCATTTTTTCGGGAAGCCGAAAGGTGTTTCTCAAACCTTTGCGAGCTACATTGCGATACTACATTGCTTTCCGGAACTTATTATCGAATGGCTCAAATTTGTCAGAACCTAGAAAGATTGGTCATCGTAGATTGTCACTATGATAATGATGGGTTGGCAACTTTGATAGAGGTCCAAAATAATTTGGGATACTTAAAGATCATCACCAAGGGGAGCGATGAACACGGAAACAGCAGACACAACAGATACATAAGGATTGCCAACGCCATATCCACGCAGGCCCATTCATTGCATCATTTTGATATTGGAGGAAGTTTTGTCAAGGCTATACCACCGGTTACCATTGCAACATTTGAGAATTTGCGAACCTTACACATTAGGTTTGAAGGCAAATATGAGGATATCCTAAAATATTCAAGTTTTTCACAACTTCAAGTATTAAAATGTTATCACGTACCAAATCCCATGGATGTTCTGACTCATTTTATTGAAAGAACTGGCGGATTACTAAGGAAAATATCGTTTAAGATTAATAGCGTGGGTGATTTTACCATGATACCACAATACAATAAAAAAATCGCAGAATCCTGTCCAAACATAAGATCCCTAACCACTTGGTTTAGGACTGACAGTGTGGCCGATTTCAGACAAGTCCTCATTTCATGCCCGAATTTAGAACACTTAACCATTGGGAACTATGAGAACGAAGATGGTTACTATGAAGCACAAATGGACAAATTGTT